TTGTAGATTTATGCAACGCGTTACGGGTCGCGTCTGCGTTTTGTTAGTCCAGGTTTCGAATTCAGATAAATGGCCTGTTCGATGGAACGCGAATCTTTTTTGGTTTTTCGTTCATTCTCTCCCTCGCATACCCACGGCCTAGGAGGAGGATGCACATATTTCCAACGAAAGGACCGTTCACGGGAAATACGTCCATAACTCTTCCGTAAATTTATGAAGGCTACGGGCATAGGGTGATCCAGCAATATCCAAGTTATAACGCTTAAATCATACCGATAGCTCGCGATACCGGCGCCGCGAGTTATTCATGGACTTCCCGGTAGCATCGCGAACTTGTTAAATCAGCCCTGGGAGAGGACAGCCATCGATGTCAAATTGTTCACGTAAACACGCCAGGAACGTAGTTGAATTCCGACGCTGTCCGTTACGCGGAATTTAATAGTTTACTCTTGTCCGACGAGCCGATATCGTAAATTCCCGTAATCGATCCCAGCGCGATAAAACTTCTGTTTGCTAAAGAATAAATCAACGGCACCTCAAACGATTCCAGAGTCCATTTAATTTGTCACAATTTTTTCAGGCTCAGCAGGTACTTTGAAGAAGTTCGTTGATAAATGTTTCACGCGTGACGTCTATATTTCTCAGGAATGGTACACAGGATGCACGGCTACCAGGTAACCGAAACTTTAGGGTATGATTCTACATGTTAAAATAAAACAAAAATCAGGGATTACGAAATTGTGTTGGAGGCTTCGTTTTCAAGGTGTTTATAATTAGAAATTCAGGTCAGAAACCCCGAAAACCAGGTACTCTAGGTACATGTGGTAAGCGAAGGACAGGACGGTCACGGTGTTGTGTACACGTTTCTATTACTTTTCTGTTCCATCAGTTCAATGACAGTCGTCAACACGACTGTATCATGTCGCGACTACGTCGCGAAGTAATCTTCGAAGAAAAGCGTCTGTTCTTTTATAGTATCAATTTAATTTATTATAGCGAGTTTTAGTTTAGTTTAAGTTAATTTTTTCTGGTGTTTAATGTCGTGCAACGATTCGTTTGTGCTTTTTTCTTAACGAAGTGTCTCAAGGTGATAGTTCAGGCTCGAGTGCAGGCGTTACACGTCACATTTTGGCCAGTGAGGTAAAGGTGTATTTTTTTATTGTTTTACGTCATGCTCTAGGCTTACCGCTTGTACACGAATTAACGGTTTCACGCGTATTTCGCCCGAATTCTTAACTGTTATTACCAACAGAGTTTCGTTATTCTCGATTTTCCTTTTATTTCGACACGTTGAATCGCCCTTTACACTTTGTAGTACGGTAACCGGGTCCGTTTGGACCCGAGTGTTTAAGAACCGTATTTAACTCATCGATTTGTAAATATAATTTAAGCTAGCTGTTGTTCATATTTAGTTATATAAAAAAAGCATATGTTTTTCAATGATCGCGTTCGAAAGTATGTTTACAAAGAAGGAAACACAGGGTTTCGAACGGACCGAGATACTATTGTCTTTACGAACATGAAGAACGTCTGTTCTCTGAGGGTTAAAGTTTCTGCCACCGGTAGCCGAACACCACGTATAACGGTGGCTAATATCAAGGTCTCTGTGCGCTAGGTTCGTTGACGCAAGGGGCATATGCATGAGACAAATATGAGGTGCCGGTTGCATCCAGGCTTGAATGACGCCTGCAAATTTACATTTCATCGATACGACACCGATAACTTGGTGTACCAGAAGTGTACTCCTCTCCTAAATACGGTTCACCGTGACCCATGTTGGCCTGTGGATCTGTTTTATGCATTAGGTCGACTCGATACGGTTACACGATACGAAAGCTATTGGACATCTTTTGATTTCCAACGAATCGAATATTCCAGAGAAACACCTGGCTACCTCCAATTTATCTGGCAGTAGAAATTTTATATATCGAACAAACTCTCATCACACAGCGATTCAGTTCTCATTCCAATTTGCGCGATACGCGATTAATTGCGAGAAGTAACGGGCGTTACAAACGCGGTAATAAAGCGCTATCCGGCAGTTTCGTCGGTCAGCGAACAAACAACCGATAACGTAACGAAATTTCGAAGCGTGTTCGTTGTATCTCATAATGCTGTACAAAGGCGAGCAGCGATGAATGCTGGAACACGGGGAACGGTTTCCTAACGGTTTGAGCTATTCGGGCCCCCCTTTGAGCGAGCGTGGCCACACTATAATGGACAGAGCCGGAAACTCGATTCGAGAAGTATTGGATCCGGCGGCAAAGGCGGATTTCCTTAATGAAAGGATTCAATATAAAATTCTACGGCGCGGCGATGGCTGTTTTTTTTTTATCTTCCCAGGTTTTACGCTCGTGAAATCCAAGCAACAATATTTTTCTCGGTTTTCTGATTGATCTCTTTCATCGTCGTACGATGTCTCATCCATTTTAATTGCCTCTTTGAAAACTGTCCTAGCTTGTAAGGTGGCTATCGGAAAATAACGAAGCAACGTACTCTAGATTTAATTGCAATTTCTCTGATCTCTGGAGAATGTCCGATCTCTGCCACCGTAAGGTTACCTCGACCGTAAATTGGCGTTAAGGGCAAGGAGAATCGAATGAGAATCATTGGACCGTTACTGGCTTCGTCTTTGACATCGAGTATACGTTAAATGTTAGCCAGGTAGTGGATCGTATTTCATCGTAAATTTAAATGTAATTTCGTTTACATAGAAGTGCGATGCTTCGTTTGATCTTAATGACGTTGAATAAAAGAATTTCAGTCAATGGTTATGGAATAACGATCGAGAAATTATGTTTAACTTCTGATAAAATGATCAGTCTATCTTTAAATCATCTCTATTACGATCTAAAGTATTGCGATGCTATGTAACTACATTCGAAACGTTCATCGAGACAAGACGTTTCTAATATATACGATCTTGTCTGGGTTCGATTTCAATGACCCAGGTAGCTTCCTATCTGCGTACACACATATGTATCTATTTCTGCAAACGTTCCCGGTATACATAAGAGGACACCCATACATAAGGGACTCAAGGTACAGTTAGATATAGCGACCCCGAAACTCCCTTTACAGTATTAACATTTCAGGGATGTGCTTGAACGGGATTCTGAGAACGCCAGAAATCGATCCCGAATAGATTATATCACCACAATCGATATACTGTATAGGTAACACCAAGAATTCACATGGAGGAATTCACCGTATGTCTATGCTATTACTTGTGCAGTTTTGAAATGAATCGATTCTTTGCGATATAACTATAAACACAATTGTTGGTAACATTAAGTAGAGTATGTAAATTCATCTAGAAATCATTAGCTGAATTTAACCCTTTGCCCTTCCGTGAGCAGGTAGAGTATATACATATGAAACTTATCAAAGTGACGGTATTAGGTATACATTCATTTTTCTGGTAAAATAAAATAAGACAATGTGTTGACAGTACAGCTGGTAGTTGGAGTAGATCGCGTTTACTTGCTGTGCCAGCCACACTGATAATTGCAGCGTAAAGGGTTAATACAACAAGTATTATTATAGAATTTTATTTCATTTATAGAAAGCTCTGTCGTCTTACGGTAAATTCTTATGAATATCGATAATATTACCTTCAACGGGTTCAGTGAATTCTGTCAATCCCGAGTTTTTGTGCTCATGGTTAATTTACACCCTGTAGACTTCACTGACGCTGTAATTTCCCCTCGATTAAAGTAGTCGACGATGAAACAAGGTACAAATAACTCGGCAAGAGATTGCCTTGTCGTTGTTGCTCGCGTAACAGCACGCGGCAACGTTTTCTTTTCCGGCCCTCGAAAGCACACTGCCAAAGGATACGGGAAAGGTGGAACAAGTTTCTTATAACTTGCCACCTCCCTCCGTCGTCCCTGTATACACAGTTTAAATTTCTATTTACTTTTACACCGAAACTTCCTTTCGCGGAGACACGACAAGCCAGAGTACAAGTTTCGCGACACCCGGGAGAAAGAGTAAATGGCTTTTCCCTCTGGTTGACGTGGCGACTAAGGAGCCTGCTATTATTTGCGAAAAACTTTTCCATCCTTATGTCTTTGCTCCCGCCGTTCTGACGGCGCCGTTAACGAGACGGGATCTAACGACCCCAGTAGCGTATAATGGAGCCATTTTTTCATGTCACTTCCACACCCGATAGGTCGAAGTTTTATGAAAATGTGCATCGTTCTTTGTGCCACGAATGGAAATAATCTATCTTACCGCCATATCGCAGATACTGCGTGTGACCGTCCCTTTAGTTTCCGAACAGTTTCACGAAATCGATACGTCCTTTCTGTACTTCGACGCAATCTACTATCAGAATTTGTAAAAGCCACGTCGATTTTTTTCTTCTCTAAAAAAACTTCTCTATTCTCTCGTGACTCGCGACAGAGTTTCGCAACGAATCACTCAATATCGTTCGCCCCTAACGAGAGGCGTATTTTACAACGTATACAGGCATTCTTTCACGATCGGAGTGAAATTCGGATTGATTCGCGTCCGGTTCCCGAGTTCGGGGGATACGAGCGATGTTGACAACGCTTGATAAATTCCTGGCGCCAGCAGAGAGAAATTTTCTGTTCTGTGTAGCAATTTTTTGTTCCTGCGAACGGAATTCGCCAGGCAGTGGACTTCAATCCCTTCTCGTATGGCACGGCCGCGTTCGGAGCTTTCAGCATTTGGCCCCAAGCTTCTATTTTTCGTTGCACAGAGGAAGGGAACGTAACCGAAACTTAATCGTCGTTAGAGTCAACGAAAATTAAAAATAAAGTCACGGGGGCTCGTGAACATTTTTATTCATATAAAAGCCCAACGTTGTGACACGGCTGTCACCGAGAAATTAATTACTGGCAAGCGGTTCGTCGAGCATTGATCATATTGATCGTGCGTTCCTTTGGAGAATCGAATTTGCGGGTGGGTGTATAACAGCCGACCCGGTTGGATAATTAGTTTGATCGGAGCCGAACGTTACGCCCATTGCTTACCTGGAGATTGGGCGGGCAATGATCGAGGAGTTCCAGCATGTGCCTGATGTTCTGCGCGTCCTGAATCACGAAGTTCAGTTCCATGTCGAACTCGCCGGCCACCAGCTGTAAACAGAACGAATCTAATGTTAAATTCATTCGTCGTTTTCTTCTTCGGAAATTTCATCACGTTACATAGTAACTGTCGATAGCTTCGCAAGTAAGATCAATCTACGTGCCCTGTCAAAGAATTTAAGAATGCTTGCATCGTTTCGATGTTCAAAGTATAAAATAGAATTTGGTCTAAGCGAGTGTAGGTCACATTGATTTCTATTTCTAACGTTTATCCACATTAAAAAATCATGAATATTAACTATTTCTTAATACAATTTATTTCTAACAGCAGTAAGCGAAAATATAGTGGAAATTTGAATGTTTTACCTCTACTGTTAAAGCTAGATGCTACATTTTGTCATGCTTACGTAGTTCGAAAATGCTCGGTAGAACCGAAGGTAGATGCGACCGAGTAGAATTTTTCGTTTTAAAACATTCACGCGCCAAAAAATGTACGTGTTTTCTCGTTGACCACAGGACCCCTGAAGACTTATCCGTACCCCGAGGATCGTCGTCGATAAATCGACCCCGGAATAGTTTACGAAACTGCGTATATCTGTGGGCGTCTTCTTACACCCGGCGACGGTTTATGTGTACGGTCGAACCGGAAGCACTGTCTCCACGGGGAGAGCGTAATTTCCGGCGAAGTATCTCTCGGTCTTTCCCGTTCTCCTACCCCTTTCCTTTCGTCTTCTGCCGAATACCGACGTGGTGGTGGTCCCTCGATATCGATCATGAATTGCTTATGTCCCACCTAGCCATTGCGGCCACGGGGTCACGAGCAATTTTTACGTTCGTCGATCGGTCGTAAAAATTCATGGATAACGCGAGTGCCGTTTATGAAATTGAAAAAAGACCGACGGGAACGTATTCCGCGAAGGTGGCTTATTCTAACAGAAATGGGGAATAATTTCGAGGTGGGGTGAGAGTACGTGTGTGGTGCGACTTATAGCTCATCCCGGATTTAATAAAAAATTTCGCTTCCAGACGCGAGAACTTCCACCGCCCACGGTCTCGAGTGATGCTATGTTGATAACTTCGAAATATTCAAAATACAGGGAAACTGGGAAGATATCGAGGGATAGTCGAATACGGTAAAAGTCTCGATGAATGTTCGAAGGCTCCTCGACATCGAACATTAAATATTTTTTATAGTAATGGCCATATGCGGCTGAAACAAGTATCAATGGCTTCAGAATTCCAAGCTATATCACTGTGCTAAAGCTCAGTAAAAATATTACACCTGGGGACTTCTATTTGTCAATACCGAGGAGCCTTCGAACACTCATCGATGATTTACTGTAGCTGGTTGTAAAAACTTTGAACCTTCCAATTCATCTATCCACAACTGGACTATTTGGAAGGAAGAGTATTGCTGGTATTTTTATAATTAGGAAAAGCTACGTGAGCTCCTTTTAACCGAATTTTCCGCGCCATTTTACAACTACCCGACATTATAAAACACAATAGTCGTTGTTTCGCCGGTTTGTCGCCTTTGAAGAACGAGTTTACAGTCTGTTCTCGCTTCTCGAACAGGGGGGCCGAAGTAGCGTGGATGACTTGCAGCTTTCGTTGTCACGTAGTCGTCGTTCACGAACACCCCTCGAGGAAAATAAATTCCACGAAAAAAAAAGTACTGAGGGGCCGACGTTATTGCCAGGAGAGACTCGGTACAACGATTTCACGTACGACGTCGCTACCATCTTTGAAATGTGACCCACGCCACTCGACGAAATTCCGGGGGATCGTGTACCGGGGGATCTGAAGGGTGGCGGAACGATGCTGAAAAATAGAAGGGTTGCTGTGAATATCGATCCCACAACGTTCGCCAAAATTCCTACGATGGATGTACCGAGATGGGTTCGACTATCATCGTGACATTTTTGCGGTCCTCGATATTTTATCGATCATCTTTAACTGTTTGTTACTGTTGAAAAATTGTATTAAATATAATGTTAATTGAGATATAATGATTTAGGTATCGATATAATATCAGATCTAATATTGTTCGTGAGGAAAAATTGTGTGATGGTCAATCGTAAACTATGGTTCCACGGTTTCCGAAGTATTCAGTTTTTAAATGTTTATCAGTATAATTTTTTCATCATTGTAATAAGAACGCTAAATATTATTAAGGGTGTAGGTCGCTTTAACTCAAGAGACAAATTAGACAACCATTTCCTAAAACACTATCCTCATCGTACAGGGTCATAAACGAACAATCTAATTGCGACAGTGTTATGCTACGCCCTTATGAATTTACTACCGTCTTGTAATCGCTTTATCATGTCTTGCAGTGGGTTTATGAGTATCAGGTTTACGAGGGTTGTACAAATAACAGTCTCCTTTAATCCCGCCGGCAAGACCCGTTTCGTTCGTTCTATATTCGGAATAGTCTCGCTCGACAACTCTAAAAGGAACGTGTTCCAATATCACGGGGAACAGGAAGAAGCCTCATAAGAATCTTTCTCCGGAAAAGTAACGGTCGCGTTGGTACACTGTTTGCTCTCGACGAGCACTCGCCGCTGACACTACCGCTCCAAATTGATTGCGATGGGGGTCACACACACACACACACACAGACGGGGGATCTCACTGGATTGTTTTTCCAGGCAAACGTCCATGAACGGAAATTTCCATGAACAACCCATACAGAGGGTACACGGTCGGATACGTTCGCCATGTCGGCTGGGAATCGGGGAAAAAAATAGGCGGACCGTGACTTACGATTTTCGGCTTTCCCTGACTCTAGCCACGATACACAGGGTGTCCCACAAGATACAGTAGTTGATACAGAATGATTTTTAATAGAAAAATAACTCGAGAAAATACGGTAATATTTTTGGGCTCGAAATATTGTTTTTGGAAAAATCAATCAAAGATATAATTTAAGGAAAAGATCGAAGAACAAAGGATTTTGTTGTTAATGAATCTTATCTATTATAATTTACATCCTATTCTTGACTATTTTATTTTATTATTCTTGATTGTTTAGAACACGAGGAATTGTTCATGTTTGCCATAAATTTTTCCCGTAGAATCACGTTTCGATCGGTGGTAGTATATATTTCGAGACACCCTATACATATAGGATGTTGCGTGGGCGCGCGTAACGTGTGTGAACGATCGAGCCGGCGTTCGCACACGAATCCGCAGTAGAATGGCCGCGCGAGGGAAGGCGGAATGGGATTCGGTGAATTAGGGCTGGCCAGCAGAGCCGACCGCTAATTGGATACCACTTGCTTTTACACCTTCTATGTTTCTGTCAGTCGAAAACAGCCAGCTAGTACAGTACGTGCCAAATTTGCTTATTCAGCAACGAAAACAATGGGCCGCGGTAAATTCGAAGCTGAAGATAATATAAAAGCTATTATACGCACGCGCGTGAAAATCTTTTGTCTTAATATATACATTGCAGGGAGGAAATAAACAAATCTGTAAACCTCAAGTATTAAATGAACGCAAAATAATAAGCAATGTACAATGTTTTCATTCATAGTTGTTATTGTATTGTTCATAGTTGTTACTGTATCCGTTAACAATATTTCAACGATGAAATGAAAAACTCTCATTTGATCTTTCAGGTATTCGACTGAAATAAATTTTGTTACATTTGTAACATTCTCCTTTCCGTTGAAACACATTACGTTTTTGTGTGGCATACACGAAACCCGAGGTGATCGATATATCTTTCGAAACTAGGTGCACCCATAAAGCGTCCGGTAGCGATCGGTACGCGAAACTGTTCGAACTTTAGTTAATACCTCGTTATTATCGAAACCCAATACCTAATCTCGAGCGTTTCCCACCGTTATTGAAACATAATTTATTACGAACTAACTACAGGCTGCTGAAGCGAACGGGTGCAAATAAATGTTCCCCGGAAGATCGATCCTTGTTCGGCGGAAGTTGCCCGGTATTCGACGGCGCTCGGAGAGCACCGTGGAAAGTCGGGTGCACACTGTTCACGTAGGAGGTCTTGATCGAGTTACCTCGAGACAGCGCTTCGAAGCTTGTTTGCACGTTACGAAAGGTTTTCAATTGCCTCTCAAGAATGCATCGTGTTGAGGCAAACGCTCTTCTTTCCTCCACGCCGTATTGTAATAATAATACGAAAAAAGGAGAGAAAGCTTGCGCGTTTACTCTCGAAATCATATTGAGCTTATCGACAGTGTCGAGTACGTCGTTAGTCTCGGAGTGTTGTCAAAGAAATACCAAAATTGAATCTTGACTTGGGAAACGTCTTTATCGCGAGGAAAACGTATTGTGGAGAAGTATTACCACAGAAAATTCCTCGATTTCATTACCGCTATTGTAGAGAGAAGAGTGACAGAAAAAGAGCAATATTCTTGTAGTCTTTTTATTATTTAACATTGGTTTATCACGCGATTCTGAACACTATCATATTGTTATAAAAAGTCCTATATAGGAGAATACTGAGTAAATCTCGATCGAATGCGTAATGTCAGCGAATAACATTAATATTGAATTAACACTAACCGTGTGTTCCGAAACGTTAGTTTTCCAGCGAATCATTGTCAAGAAGCACGGTCAGAACAATAGTCTGAATTTGTAGCACTGATCCTGGCTCGCGTCCACGGAATATACGCTCACCGTATTATCGCAACTGCAATGGGGGGAGGCTTTCACGATACGTGGTACGACAAGGAGGTGCTTGGGCGTAATTAATTCCATTGAGTTGATCAATTTTTGATTGATCAATAGCGATTCTCGACTGGTCGAAAACACATGTCGGATATACACTCTACATAATCAACATTTCGAGTGTGTTTACGTATGCTGTCGATTAATTTGTTTTGGAACCATGAACGTTGAATTCAGTCTAAACTTTTGTTTTTAATGATAATTGAATTTGATATAAAAATTGAATCGTTTAATATGCTTTTCGGGTATGTATTTCGACCGCATGTATTTTTCATCTGCTCGCCAAACCGCCTATTTGTGTATATCGTTTCTTAATTCACTCGATTCCGTCGAACTGTCTGTATGCA